TTTGTTCCCTCACTTTGTTTCTTTATATCTCGTTTTCCGTTGGGATTATCCTGCCTGTCTTACCTTCAGGACTTGTTTCACTCTCACAGACCCCTTCCAGTTCCATATGATGAACTGCCGTCAGTTTCCTTAAGCATTTGTTTTCGGTGTTTTTTTTTTAATTTACTAAATGAGATGTGATAAGAAAGTTTTGAAGCTACATTTAGTTTAAGATGAAACCATTACAATTTCATTTAAAATATATTATGTTTAAATTGCTTTTTTGGGGGGGTAGGTGCATTGATACAAAAAAAAAAGTCAGTCTCCCGGGTTTAATGGGGACAGGAGCAGGGGGATGGGAATTTTATGCTTTTCCTGTCTATTTTTTCCCCTCGCTGTGAATTAAAAAGAAAAAATAAAACGATTATTTCCACAATAGGAAATCATCGTGTTCGGATTTTTCTTAGAAGATAGTGGCAAATCTTTACTACATGTTCGGCTGTTCAGCAGTGTGTAAGTCACATACTGTCTTTGAACAGAATCATTAGGATTATATTTCTGAGCATAATAATTAAGCATCGTGCCAGAGAACTACCTGGATTTGGAACCTGCTAAGGCTGTGTTTCTCCCTAGTGAATTTTCTGATGCTGGTACTAGAACTCAGATCCTAAATGCTAAAGCTGAGAACTTATCCCCTGGCAACCGCCAGATAGTCCTTTTGCCCAGGTCCAGATGGCATTAGGGAGATGCGAAGGTCTTTGCTCTGGTTCACTGGGTCATCAGGGGGTGATGGTCCTAGCCCATCCAAGAATGCCAGTTCTCTGGAATGTCTTCAAAGTCTCTGCTTCTTCCTATCAGGGTCAGGCACCCACTCAGTCTTTTTCTCTAATGCTTTTAAAATCTCTATCTTGGACAGACATAGAAGGGCTGCACTCATTTGTGGAGTACAAAACAACGTAACATGAGGCTGACACCTAAGGACAGTAGATGCGCGGGACAGATAGATTGCTCCATAGCTGGAAGCCTGCCTCATGAGCAAAGGGGAGAAGGCAGCTGGAATAGAGAAGGGATCACCAAGAAAAAGATGGCTGGAGGAATCGGTTGGGATGGGAGATGTGTGCAGAAAGTAGATAAAGGACCAAACATGAGGACCTCTCAGTGTCTGTATTGCAAACCATAATTCCCCAAAGTTGAGAGAGATTATAGGGAATCATGTCTGCCATGGAGGCGGGGGGAGGGTGAGAAAGGGGGGTTATACTGGGGATATTGGTGGTGGGGAATGTGCACTGGTGGAGGGATGGGTGTTTGATCATTGTGTGACTGTAACCCAAACATGAAAGCTTGTAACTATCTCACAGTGATTCTATAAAATTTAAAAAAATAATAAATAAAATTTTTTTAAAATTTTAAAAATAAATAAAATCTCCCTCTTTAGTTGGGAGATGTGATTCCATGGCATTCTGCAGGAACGTATTTCAGAATTTCCACTCTCATGATCTCATACTTCGCTCGGGGTCCTTGCTGCCATCCTTTAAAGCTCAGCCAGGGAAAGGGACTCATTATTTTCAGGCTTTCAGAGTTGATCCCCAGTGGGCTCATGTCTCGAAGTCAGTGGTTGGGTCCTGAGCCGCCCTCACGGGCCCTGGCCTGGCTCTCGGAGATCAGTAAACAAATGCTCTCACGGAGCTTCCCGTCTGCTGGGGAGAAAACAGGCAAGAAATGCCTCGTGACTCTGTAAATGTCGACTACGTGAGAAGGCAGTGAGAGCCGTGGAAAGATGGGGAGGGCAACGGGCTGTGATGGTAAGGGGGTGGGTTGGGTCGGGTCATCTATCTAAGCTCAGTGAATTGAAGAGTTTTTCATAATTTGGGATGCAATTTTTTAAATTAAAAAAATATTACTGAGTCACCATGAGATACACAGTTACAAAGTTGTTGGTGATTTGGTTTCAGTTATACAGTGTTCGGACACCCCATCCCTTCACCAGTGTACATTTCTCACCACCAACGTCCCCAGTTTTTCCTTCCTGCTGCCCTGCCTTGCAGCCTGCCTCTTTGTTTTTTTTTTTTTTTAATTAATTATTTTTTATATGCAGCCTGCCTCTTTGGCAGGCACTGTTCTCCCTCTCTCTCCCTCTCCCCCTCTCTCCCCCTCTCCCTCTCTCTCTCTCCCTCTGTCTCTCCCTCTCCCTCTCTCTCTCATTCTCATTCTCTCCCTGTCTCTGTCTCTTTTTCCTTTTGGGCATTGTAGTTTGCAATACAGGTACTGAAAGGTTATGATGTATATCCCTTTACCTACTTCTCGTGCTCAGTGCTTGTCCAAAACGATCATTTCCAACAATCATTGTTGTCATGGTTCCTTCTCTGTCCTACCTGCCCTCCCTCACTACCCATCTCCCTCCCACCACTTTTGGCTAGCTTCCAATCATGGACCAGTCTTCCTGGCCCTCCTTTCTACTGCCCTAGAGTATGTATTAATGTCATACTACGGTTGGTTGGTTGGTTGGTTGGTTGGTTGGTTGGTTTGCTTGTTTGTTTGTTTTATGGAATGTAGTTTTCTTACTCATTTTGTTCTGAGCCTCCCAAGCAGTACTCAGGGGGCCCCAGGGTTGATCCCTGGTGCTGCTCAGCCAACTGGACCTGATGATTCCATGCTTGGTCCCAGTGTCGTGGTGCTGCTGAGGGCCACCTGGGCACACCTGGTGGTGCTTTGGGAGCCACTAAGTGTTGGAGACTGAGTTCAGGGTCTCAAGCATTCCAGCCTTGTTCCCGGACCTTTGAGCTATGGCTCAGACCTGTAGTTTCTTTTTTGTTTTCTTATTTTTATTTGTTTGTCTGATTTTGCACCACACCTGGCAGTTCCCAGGGCTGACTCCTGGCTCTGTACTCAGGCATTATTCCTTGTGGTGCCCAGGGAACCATATGGGATGCCAAGGATGGGAACCCGGGTAGGCTGCATGCAAAACAAGTTCCCTATCCACTGTACTGTCTTTTTTTTTTAATTGAATCACCATGAGATATATAGTGACAGCTGTGCTATCTTTGAGGCCCCAGTTTATACCTTTTGTCCTCTCCTTACTCCCCACTCCCCTTTTTTTTCATGATGTCACTATGACCCAGGTCATAGACATTTGCTTGCGGGTCTTGCACGCCGGATGTGGTGCTGCCTGGGGTTCGCTCCCCACGTAGTGTTGCTTGCATACATGGTTGCTGAGGGTCCACATCCTATATTTGTTGAGCTGGAGCAGTGTTGGCTTCAGCTCTTCCAAGGGTCGCAGTCAGGAGCCTGGTGACAGTGTGTGACGCATGTATGGCAACCCTCTGAGTCCTTGCCCCAGTCTCTTCTTTCCGGTTTTCCAGTAGGAATGTAGGTTGTGGATGAGAGCAGCCTTCTTCTTTTTTTTTGGGGGGGGGGGATGATGGTGGGGGGGGGGGGTTGTAGAGACACACTGCCTGTGTTCAGGGCTTACTCCCGGCTCTGTGCTGTGGCATCATTCCTCATGAGGCTCATGGGGAACATACGTGGTGCCAGGGGTTGAACTGGGGTTGGCCGCGTGCAAGTTAAGAGCCTTCACCCCTGGACTGTCTCTTCTCCCCCATTCTTCTTTTCTAATATGACTATTTAATGCTTTCAAAGTACTGTTTTATGTGACACAGATTTCAGTGTGTCAGGATTTCATTTTTTGCTTCATTCAAAATATTTTCCTTTTAATTTTTTTTTTTTTTAACTTTTGGGTTATTTAAAACTGTTCTGTGTGTCTTCCAAATAGTTTGAGTAATCCACAAATATTTATCTTTACCATGTGTCCAGGGAGCATATCCTTTCAGATTTATTTAGACTCTCTTAGGCTCATACTGTGGCCTATACTGGGGAGAATTTGTGTTTTGCTTCTGTTGAGTAGTTTTTTCCTGTGTTGTTCAGGTGAGACTGTTTGATAGTATTGTTAAAAGTAAGTAGTTATCTATTTTTGTTTGTTTGTTTCTGGGACCACACCCGGCAATGCTCAGGGGTTATTTCCGGCTCTCCTCTCAGGAATTCTTCCTGGCAGTGCTCGGGGGACATATGGAATACTAGGGATCGAACCCGGATCTGCTGCCTGCAGGGAAAACACCCTACCTGCCATACTATCACTCCTGCCTCCATAGTTTTCTGTTTAAAAAATCTATGTATTCTATAATTTAATGAGAGAACAGGGACAATCTCCCAAGTATAAATGCAGATTTGTTCATTTTCCTTTTAGATTTATCGGTTGTGTTTTATATTGGGCGACCTCCTTAACATCCATTCACTGTGCATCTTTAGCCTGAGTAAAATTCCTCTTGTAGACTCCCTACAAGCCGGATATATTTCTATGTAGGTCTGTATCTTGGCTCTGATACTAATTTAAAAAAAAATCGCTTGCTTAGGTCTGCTTTCAGACCAGACAGTGAGTCAGATTTAAAAAAAATAATGAGTCTTTCACAACAATGATTTTATGACTTTGGATGATCTGCCTCAACACTAAATCAGTCAGCCTTTCTAGAGAAGTTGTTTTACTGGCCAGGGATGTGTTGGAAAAGAGGCTTGCTGTTGGTTGAATGTATGTAAGTTGTTTAAAAATCTGAGGCTAGGGCATGCTAGGGGAAAGGGCAGCTCAGATAGAGAAGGGAGCACCAAATAAAGGGTGTTGGGAGGATCCTCCCAGGATGGGAGATGCATGTTGAAAGTAGACTATGGACTGAACATGTTTGCCACTCAATGCCTCTTTTGCAGACCACAACACCCAAAAGGAAAGAGAGAACAAAAGGGATCGCCCTGCTACAGAGGCAGGGTGGGATGGGGGGGATGGGGGTGGGAGGGATACTGGGATCCATGGTGGTGGAAAATGGGCACCGGTGGAGGGATGGGTATTTGATCATTGTATAATTGAAACCCAAGCACAAAAATGTGTAAGTCTACAACTGTGCCTCATGGTGTTTCACTAATAAAAATTAAAAAAAAAAATCTGAGGCTAATTATGTTGGCCTTCCCTCCCGTTTCAGGTATTGGTGGTAATTTGGTGGCCATTCAAGCTAGCAGGATTTCTACCTACCTCCACTTGCACAGCATTCCAGGAGAGTTGCCTGATGAACCCAAAGGTTGTTCCTACCCGTTTAGAACATTTTTCGGCCCAGGTATGTTTTATGTAGATTTGTGCGTCATTTGTTTTAAGATCATACTCTTCTGAGGTTATAGACAGGCACTCTTTGTTGAATCCATATTTCGCGAGTGTTGCCCAACTCTTATTTCTGAGCGCTTTCCCGATCTTCCTATAGGATAGATTTTGTTCATTAATTTCAGTGGACAAGGGAGCATTTGTCTTGGTCTTGCAGTTGCTCCAGGCTGGTGTCGTTTTTCTTTCTCCCTTCACCCTGGGATCTGTTGTTTGAGGAAAGAGGAACCCGGGCTTGCAAGAAGCCTTGCTGGGTCCTGTGGAAGCAGGGGAACGGTCTTTTCTATTTTAATCCTTAACCTTTGATTCTCGTTTGAGGCATTTGGTTCCAAACAGAGTGAGAGGGGATAGTTACGGAACAGCACATTACTTAAGTTACCCGGGTGGGTGATTGCCAAGACACTAAACCCACAATTTTAACCCATGGTGTGTGTGTGTGTGTGTGTGTGTGTGTGTGTGTGTGTGGTGGCAGGGATTGAACCCAGGATCTCATATATATGAAGCATGTGCTCTACCACCACATACAACAGCCCCTTGGAACCACATTTGGGGTGGGGATGATAACTGGCAGCTGTACCCAGGGGTTACTCCCAACTTAGAACATATGGGACCAAGTGGTCCAGGATTCAAGCCTGGGTACCTTCATGCAGTTTGAGCTTCAGCCTGCTGAACTCTTTCCCTGGGCCAAGACCACACATTTGTCTTGGTCTTGCAATTGCTCCAGTTTGGTGTCGTTTTTCTTTTCTTACAGTTCTTCTCATTTTTCATTCTGATCAAAGTTAATGTAAGTTTTGATCCTTTGAATAAGGGTCAGAAATGCCCTACATGGTAATGTCAGTGAAAGAACTCTGAAGGGAAAGTCAAAGAAAAACCTTTTACATGCTTTAAGTATTTCGTATTACTTTAAGTATTAAGTATTTTTCACTAATCTCCCTTTTTCTTATGATAACTATTAAAGTTTGATCAGTATTCTTCTTTTTTTTTAATTTTTTGTTTTTGGGGTCACACCCAACGATGCGCAGGGGTTACTCCTGGTTCATGCACTCAGGAATTACTCCTGGCCGTGCTTGGGGAACCATATGGGATGCTGGGAATCGAACCCGGGTCGGGCCGCATGCAAGGCAAACGCCCTACCCGCTGTGCTATCACTCCAGCCCCCAATATCCTTCTTAATAAGTCTTTTTAACTCCCTTTTATTTAATTAACATATATATAGTGAGAATGTCAGAATTTTGAAGCTAATGTCTCCCTTCTTTACCATATAGTTGTGTCACAAGTTTCTGTTAAGCGAATTGTAAATAGTTGAACTTTATTTTTAGCAATTGGATTTTATGTGATGCTGTGCATTATAAAAGCTTGAAAGTGCTCTTCAAATTTTTAATAATTGTGCTGATCATTTACCAAAATATGATTTTTCAGCAACTTTTATATTTTCTATTTCAGGAGTAAATAATAAGTCTGCTCAAGTTTTGCTGCTTTTAGTAATTCCTGGACATTTAATTTTCCTCTACACTATTCATTTGATGAAAAGCGGTCACACGTCTTTAACTGTAATCTTCATAGTAGTATACTTATTTGCCGCGGTATTACAGGTAAGAGTTAAAACCTTTCCCTCTTTTATGCCCAGACTTGTAAAAGTATAACTAACTTATAAAAATAAAATCTGAAGACTCGTGAAAATATTTTGACATTTAAAAAAAAATCAATGAAATTCCTTCCTATTAATTTCATCTTCTTGAAAGCATTAAGTTTAGCACCACTTTTAATATGAGCATGAGCATTAGAAATTTTAGATTTCCTGATTTCATGATTTTTGTGTCTCTTTTAAAAAATTGTTCTTTTAAATATAAAAGAAGATGTCTTCTCATTGATCCCTGGGGAAGAATTCCCGGGGGTAAATTTTTTGAGCCTTTGCATGATACTTTGTATGAGGAGATTGACAAAAATATAGAATGATTTTTCTTTCGGAATTTGGAAGGCATCATTTATTTGCCTTCAACTTGAACACTGTGAACAACTGAGTGGCATATGCAATACTGAGTTCATGAATATACACCTTTGGTCCCCCAGAAGATTGTCTCTTTCTCCTTTTTCTTATCACTATCACCCCATTGTTCATTGATTTGTTCGAGCGGGTGCCAGTAATGTGTCACGTGCTAGTGTAGCCCGATGGCATATTGGGGGCTCTTTCAGGGTCAGGGGAATGAGGACCATCATTGTTACTGTTTTTGGCATATTGAGTATGCCACGGGTAGCTTGCCAGGCTCTGCCGTGTGGGCGGGATACTCTGAGTAGCTTGCCGGGCACTCTGAGAGGTATGGAGGCTTTGGGGGCAGCTTCTAATCACCTTTACAGGTGTTCCCGATCAGGCATGTATGCGGGCAAGATACTCTCGGTAGCCTGCCTTGTCCTCTGAAAGCGAAAACTAGATGGCTGCACGCTTTCCTGGAGCTTGGTTTTATAGTCTCTAGATCTTGGCCATTGATGGGCTTACACAGCAGTTGGTGGGTGTAACTGTCTAGCTACTGGAAGATGGAGGATCTGGATGGAGGAGGCCCAGTCCCAATTCGAGCAGGCCTGGAGATTTCAACCCTGGGTCCTGCACACCAGGGTTCCTCTGTCAGTTCCTTCATGCATGAGGCTCGTCCGAACATGTGGAGAGTGGTCTCAGCATGGCTGTGTCTGGATCTTGGAGGTCTTCAGCTTTTCTTATATTTCATGTTAATGTGCCTTACTTTGGGTGTATCTTTTCTGTGTTGTTGGACATTGTTTGGCCATTGTTTTCAACCTGAAAAATTCATGTTCTTCTGTTCTACATTTTTTTTTCAGAATAAATGTATTTGATTTTTCCCTCTTTTGGAATCTTATTCCAGAAATAAGTTTTCTAGAATCTTACTAGGTTTCTATCACTCTTTCATAAATTTCTTTTCCTTATTCTCTTTTTCCTCTTTCAGGGAGATTTCCCTGCCTTTCTAAATCTTTTCTCTATTATGCTTCTGAGATAGAGAGACAGAGAGACAGAGAGGAAACAGGGAGAGAGGGAGAGAGGAGAATTAAACTGTAGCACTGTAGCACTGTCCTCCGTTGTTCATTGATTTGCTTGAGCAGGCACCAGTAACGTCCCCATTGTGAGACTTCTTGTTACTGTTTTTGCATATCAAATACACCACGGGGAGTTTTCCAGGCTCTGCCGTGTGGGTTGGATACTCTCAGTAGCTTGCTGGGCTCTGAGAGGGACGGAGGAATCGAACCTGGGTCAGCCACATGCAAGGCAAACGCCCTACCTACTCATATGAAAAAAATTAAAATTAATACTACAGGTAGATTCTATGTTGAGTCATATCCTTCAGAGATAGTTGGACATATTTTTTGTTTTGGAGCCACACCTAGCTGTGCTCAGGGCTTAATCCTGGCTCTAAGATCACTCCTGGCAGTACTTGAAGGATTATATGGGGTGCTGGGGACCAAACCCGGGTCAGCTGTGTGTATGTAAGACCAGTGTTCTACCCGCTGCTTTATCATTCTGCTCTGCCCACCCCACTTTTTAAAAATTTATTTCTTCAAGTATCATGGCTAAACTTACAATTTCTGGCTGATCTCTTTTGGATTTTTACTAATTGAAGCTGAGAATTTTGAAGCTAATGTCTCCCTCCTTTACCATATAGTTTTGTCACAAGATTGTGTTAAGTAAATTGTCAGTATTTGTACTACCAGTCTCTCAGCTGTTTACCGGAGATCTAGATCATATCTGTTAGGATCATACTTCCTCTTTTTTTTTCTCTTAAAGTTATTAATTGCATGTTTTCAATTGAGTCATTTTAGTGTAAATTCATCCTTAATTTTACCAACCATTCCCACTTTGCTTTGGCCTTTTGGACATGGCTTCTTGCTAAATTATAGTATTATTGTTTCCTACAGAGCGAGATCCTAACTCTTTTTTTTTTTAATATTTGCCTTTATTTTTATTTATTTATTTATTTTTTTGTTTTTTGGGTCACACCCGGTGATGCACAGGGGTTACTCCTGGCTGTGCTCAGGGGACCATATGGGATGCTGGGAATCGAACCCGGGTCAGCCACGTGCAAGGCAAACGCCCTACCGGCTGTGCTATCTCTCCAGCCCCAAGATCCTAACTCTTTAGAGAGATGCATTCTAATAACTCTCTGAAGTGACTGCACTTGGATTTGACATTCCAGGGGTTTTACATTGGGGTGAGACTAAAGGGACAATACGAAGACATTTTCTGGTCCAGATAAACGGTGCTTTTGTTGTCACGATAGTGAAATGACTGCCTTCGATGGTGATTCATATAGAGGTGTCACTGTTCTTCTACTTTGCTACACTAATTAATTTCTCACAAAACTACAAAATTTGGGGTTTTTTAATGTAAATCAGTGATTTTCAAAGTAAAGTACTTGTAAAACAATGCATTGTGTATGGGAAGTGATTAAATGTCTATTTATCCATTTTACCTTATTTGTTTAAAATATCTAGTACTAATTTTCTGTTTATTTTGTAGTAAACAATGAATTAGCATGGTGTGAAATATGAACAAATATCTCATATTTTTGGAGACTATTGTATTAAAGTGTAGAAATAAAAAAACAGAGCTTATCACTGAAAGAAAAGTTATACATAGCATCTAACTAATGGAAAGGAGCAGATCAAATAAGGTTTAGAAAGTAGATTAGGGTTAATATCGAAAAGACCATAAATGCTGGGGAAGGAAGACAAAAATTTATTAAAGTAACAAAACTCTTATGATGTAATTAATATTTTAAACTCTCCCACAGTGCCTGAGATACTTACTAAATATCACCTATCAAATTGTTCATTCATTTATTCTTTAAACCTTCATTCTACAAGGATGGGTTATAAGTCACAGCATTTATAAGCCCAGACTTAATTCTCAAGGTCTTAGTGTGGAGGGAAGAAAAAGCACTGAACCACCTGGGAGTAACTTTCTGTTTTTACTTTCAATACCCTATCAAAAAGTTATTTCATATGCCTTTTTTACTACTGACTGCCTTTATTGCTACATCTGATATAGTTATTGTCATTGATGTTCCCTCTGTGTATAAGTTTCATAAAGAAGATACATTTCTCAGTCTCATGGGAACAATTCAGAAAGTATTTTTTGGTCTGTTGATAAAGAGACCATTGTTAGAGCATATTTCTACTTGTAGTTCAGTTCTGTTATGCACTGGGATTGACCACACACACACACACACACACACACACACATACACACACACATACACACACACATACACACATAGATATAGATACATATATGTATATGCATGTGTAATATGTATTTTAAGGAAATGAAAACAAAGCACAAACCCCACAAGCTATTAATGTTCATTCAAAATTTTAAGATTTTATTGAAATACTTAGGAGATGATGATCTGATATCCAAGGAAAGCTAAAGGAGGGAATGTAGGCAGAGTAAAATAGAGTAAACAGATCATGAGTTAATGGTCGATGAGGTGGATTGATGGTTCATGAGGATAGTGTAGGTTCATTTGTACTGGTCTGTCTCCACTTGTGTGGGTAAGGTAAAGGTAAAGGCCCTCCCGTTGATCGTCGATTTGCTCGAGCGGGCCCAGTAACGTCTCCATTGGAGACTTTGTTGTTACTGTGTCTGGCATATCGAATACTCTCGGTAGCTTGCCGGGCTCTCCGAGAGGGGCGGAGGAATCGAACTCGGGTCGGCCATGTTGGCCGCGTGTAAGGCGAACGCCCTACCCGCTGTGCTATCGCTCCAGCCCTGGGTATTTCTCCATATTGAGGAGTTCCGATATTTAAGCTTTGATTTAAGAAGTCAGCTTTAGAGTTTGTTTACAGCATATTAGCTCTCTAATTTTGGTCCAGTAGTTATTTCTTACCTCAAGGGAAAAGTAAAAGTCAACTTGAGTTTGAAACTGTTTGGAACTTAGCTTTGTTGTGTATGTATCTTATTTTGCCCTAGGTAGACTCTGATGATGCCCCTTTTTAAAGGATTTCTTTTAATTAAAAATTGATTTATGTGGGGCTGGAGTGATAGCACAGCAGGTAGGGCGTTTGCCTTGCACACGGCCGACCCGAGTTCAGTTCCCAGCATCCTATATGGTTTCCTGAGCACCCCCAGGGGTGAGTCCTCAATGCAGAGCCAGGAGTAACCCCTGTGCAATGCTGGTGTGATCCAAAAAGCAAAATAAATAAATAAAACAAAAATTGAAAAAAATTGATTTATGTGTCACAAATTGCACTATTTGGGTATCAGTGTCCTGAAATTAGAAGTTTGTGTCATGTGACATTAAGGACACTCACCAGTAAGTAGGAGGGGTTTTACTTTTCCTCATCCTCTTGCATAGTGAGCAGTCATGAGCAGCTATTTGGAGTATGTCCAGGCCAGAGTACTATGTGAGAGACACTTGTGCCTGGTACATGATCAGTCACTTGCATTTCTTTTTTGTTTTCAGTAATAAGGATGGTTTGACCCAGAGCTCACCATCCTATATTTCCTTTTTCATATGCCTTCAGTTAACATTTATGCAGCTGCTTGCATAGGGCTATGGGTACTATTGTTTGAATAGAACAAGAACAT